TTAAATTCCTCACATGCATCATGATGGAGACGGTTGCATTCTGGAGGGAGAGACAAGCACAGCCTTCCTGTGAGCTGCTGTTCATGGCTCAGCTCTCAGGTAGGGGCCTGGTTTCCCTTAGAAGTAGAGCAAAAGGATTACTCCTTCCTCAGCCCAGGTCTACAGTGGACAGGACTGGCCTAGGAGGAAGGCCCAGCTCATATCTCAGTTCTCTTTGAGCTGCAGCCTGGGCAGACTGTCCCCCTCCCCAGGCCTCAGTGTTCTCATTTTGGTAATCTCTGTAGTTTGGTGGTTCTTTTTTTTTTGTACCAGGGATTGAACCCAGAGACACTTTGCTACTGAGCTACACACCCAGTCTTTTTTATTTTTTATTTTGAGACAGGGGTCTCACTAAGTTGCTGAGGCTGGCAATCCTCCTACCTCAGCCTCCTGGGTTGCTGGCGTGAAGTTTGGTGGTTCTAATTCAGCTTCTCAGACTTCCCCAAACAGGAAGGTGGGGTGGCCCTGGTGGCTAGAATGCCACCTCTTCAAGGAAGAAGCAGAACTCAAGAAGTCATCCATGTGAGAGGAGACAGGTCTCTAGGGAGCTAACCATGCCTCCTCCCCTTCCACCAGGGAGCCATTTTAATACAGTCACAGCTGAGGAGGCCTTTGGGGACCATTCAGTGTAACCCCAACTGATGAATGAGGAGCTACAGGCCCAGAAAGAAGAAGGACTTGGCCCTCAGCAACCCAAGGATCGATCCCAGGTCCTATTCCTGTCACTGAGGGATCCAAGGTCCTTCTCATCATTGGCTTTTCTAGGTGCCACCTCTCTTGGTCCTCACCACCTCTAGCTCAAACAGAGCGAGGAAGCTCCAGGGCAGAGGTACCTGTCACAGCTCCCCCCACCTCGTCTTGCCCTCTCCTCCTGAACCCTGTCCCCTGGCAGGCTCATGGAAGGTACTGATGGCAAGGGATCATTCAGGCAAGAGCTCCAAGACCTTGCTGGGCTGTCACCTGACTTTTTGGATGCTGCCTCCCACCTCCCCTGCCCCAGGGTAGCCTCCGTGGGAGGTGCCCTCTGAATGTAGGAGGGAAGGAGAGAGGCATGGAGCCCAGCCAGCTAGGCCAGTGTCAGGCAGGGCTCAGGCCCTGGCCCAGCTCCCCACCCAACCTGACTCGGGCTGGGGGACAGGGTGTGTGTGCGCACACGTGTGTATGTGTGTGAGCCCAAGCCACATGCAGTGCTGTCCTCCCATGTCTCCCCATTCTCCTGACCTCGTGCCCCTGTGGGAAGAAAGCTGGGGACTGGGCCTGTGAATGGAACCTGAGGGCCACATAGGAGAAGAGGATCAAGATGCTGATTCCCTTCCACCCAGTATTAGACGGCTAATGATGGTGAACGACTGGGGTCTTGGAACCTGAATCAGGACCACAGAACTGTAGCTGCCAAAGAGGGCATGGACCAAGGGTTTCTAATCTGAAGGCACATGGAGGGTGGGCTTCTGAGTCCTCTGGTGAAATGGTAAGCAAAACTGTGTGCAGGCAGTCTGTAGCTCCATCGGGGCCTCAAAAAGTCTATAAGGGCTGGGGATGTGGCTCAAGCGGTAGCGTGCTTGCCTGGCATGCGTGCGGCCCGGGTTCGATCCTCAGCACCACATACAAACAAAGATGTTGTGTCTGCCGAAAACTAAAAAATAAACATTAAAAAATTCTCTCTCTCTCCCCCTCCCTCTCCTCTCTCTCTTAAAAAAAAAAAAAAAAAAAAGTCTATGATCTAAAAGAGGCAAGAGACCTGGCCCCAGCTGTGGGGTGGGGATTCAGAGAGGCAGACAAGGGAGGTGGTAATGGTTCTAGGCTGGTCCTCTAGGAGGGGAAGACAAGGCTTCTAGGCAGTGGGGGAGGAGGAGGGAGGGTGGCCTGAATAGCACTTGGCCCTGGAAGCTGGCTGCAGGGGTTTGAGTCCTGGTTCTGCCACTTAAGCAAGTCACTTTTCTCAGTTCTTCAATTTCTCCATCGGTAAAATGGGGGTTCACAACAGCAGCTTCCTAAAGGGACCTCATTAACCCTTTAGCTGAAGGATCTTGGAGTGATCCAGAAGTGGGAAGGACAGGACAGGAGAAACCAGCCGAGGGGAAATGCGGTTTTCCCTGTAGAGTACTTTAAAATTCAATAGTCAATGAATGTGGCTCCATTCACATGCATGATACTTGGAGCGTTGCCTGGCACACTAAGTGCTCCTGCGGAGATCACAGGGCTGAGCCACTGGATGGGACAAGTGGCCCCCCCTGCCATTCCTCGTTTAGCCAGCACTGAAGGAAGGTAGCGCACGTCCCTTTTCTGGGTTCAGTTTTTGTCTCTGTAAAGGGAGACTCATATGGCCCCACTGAGGCTTCAGCTGGGCTTCAGGGTGTCTTCCTTCTCTCACTCTCACAAGGGACGGTGCATTTGTTGGGGAGATGCCTCCTCTCTGGGCTGCTCCCAGGAAGTATTTCCGGAGACGGCCCAGAACTCCCAGCTTCAGATGGCGATGCCCCAGCCAGTGGCCCCCCAAGTCTCCGCAGGGCCTGCCTGGGGCCTGCCCAGACCAGATCCCAAGCAGGCTGGGACGGAAAGGCAGGTGGGGCCCAAGGTGGTGGGCGGGGAAAATGCTGGACCTTAGCCAATCAGAACACACTCAAAGGGGACCTCATTAACCTTTTAGTTGAAGAATCTTGGAGTGATCCAGAAGGGGGAAGGACAGGACAGGAGAAGCCAGCCTAGGGGAAGTGCGGTTTTCCCTGTAGAGTACTTTAAAATTCAATAGTCAGCACAGGTACAGAGGGGGCAGCTCTGGGACCACACCATTGGGATCCTGAATAGGTGTGTTGAGGGTAGGTCAGGGGAGAGATAAGCTCACCTCCAGAAATAGGATCTGTCAAAATTGTTCATCTGTGTTTATGGTTACAGTGACCCCTACAGCAGTTTTATGCATCTCTGGAAATGAAGGTGGGGACTAACTTGATACCTTTCTTTTTCTTTTCTTTTATTTATTTATATATTTTTTGGTACCAGGGATTGAACACAGGGGTGCTTAACCACTGAGCCACATCCCCAGCGCCCCCCTCCCCGCCGGCTTTTTTAAATTTAGAGACAGGGTCTCACTAAATTGCTTAGAGCTTTGATAAGTTGCTGAGGCTGGCTTTGAACTTGTGATCCTCCTGCCTTGGCCTTCAGAGCTGCTAGGATTACAGGTGTGTGCCACCATGCCTGGCCCTCACTTTATACCTTCTTGTTGGTGGTGGTTTTCTTTCTTTATTTGTCTATAATAGCCATGAATTGCCTTTTAAAAAAATATTTTTTAGTTGCCAATGGATTTTTCACTTTATTTATTTATTCATATGTGGTGCTGAGGATTGAATCCAGGGCCTCACATATGCTAGGCAAGTGCTCTACCACCGAGCCACAACCACAGTCCATAAACTGCTTTTATAAGCAGAAAATATATGATTGGAAGCTGTATACACAGAAATCTGTGTGCTAGACCCTCCACAAGGAGGCCTTGGGGATGCAGCAAGGTGTCAGACTTGGTCTATCTTACTAGAACCTTGGGGTCTGTCTGGTGGAGTTGGACAAACCAGAAAAAAATTGGTGATGCAGAGAGGGAGGTGGTGGGGCCAGGCAGTGTCGGGCAGGGCGTGCAGATACTAGGACCAAGGTGTGGCATGTTCTGTCTAACAGGCCCCGAAAGCTCAGACTACAGTAAGGTGCCTTGTCAGACTAGGTGGTACAAACCCTCAAGGAGTTGTCACATGTCACCATGGTTGTCACCATGACTCAGGCAACAGTGTTGTCCCAACCAAGACCCAGACCTGAGAGATATGAGCGAACCCACATTTGGTAGGCTGCTGCTTAGACTCCAAGTCTGCCTGTCCAACATAGCAGCCACTGACTACAAGTGGCCATTGAGGGCTTGAAGTGTCACTCTTCAGAAGCGGGATATGCTGCATGTCGTGGTACTCTAGATTTTGAACACTTCATATGAACAAAAGAAAGTAAACTATCTCTTTAGTATTTTTTACATTGATTAAATATTGAAATGACACTCTTTCATATATTCTGGGTTAAGTAAAATATATTATTAAAATCAGTTTGACTTTTTTTTTTTTTTTGTGGTGCTCATGACTAAGCCCAGGGCCCTCCCTGCACATGCTAGGTGAGCGCTTTATCACTGAGCCACACCCCAGCCCTTACCCATTTCTTTCTGCTTTCAATGGAGCTACTAGAAAATTTCAAATTACATATGATTCTTGCATCACATTTCTATTGACAGTACACTTGTCTAGAATGTTTCAGAAAATATAGGAATTTTTATTGTGGAAAACAGAACCAGTCATAAAATATTTTCTCTGGGTCTTTTTACCTCACCAAAGAACAAAAGCCCAATCATGGGCTTTGAAAGAGAAGTTTCTCATAGTTTCAGACCCACAGACAAATCTGTCTCAAATGCCCTTCTCCCAAGGTCACTACTGTTTGTCCTATGAGACAGTTTGGGTGTCACCTCTTTCATTAAGCCCTCCTTGACTACCCTGTGGCTGTACTGGCTGCCCTGTGTCTGGTCCTGGTTTGAACAGTTGGTGTCGTTCATCCCCTGCAGTGGGCACAGGCTCCTGAGCAATGCCAGTGCAGACGTGGCTGTATCCCAGCACCTAATGCAGGCCTGGCATGAAGCAGAGAGCCACCACTGATTGTGGGAAATGACCCCCGCTTAACTTGAGGTACCCACCGTTAGGCCACCTCTGTGCGCAAATTCCCCATGACCTACAGGAGCTGACACCCCAATCCCAGGCCTTTCTGCTGTGAGCACTAACCATGCCTCCTCCCGGCAGCCACCTAGATTGGCATCAGGAAGGAAAAGAATGACAGAGGGTGAGGCTGATGTCCCCTCAGGCCGCACAGGGGAGGCAGGTTCCTCTGTGGCAAGCAAGGCGTCCCTACCCAGAGCAGACCCTCAGACCCGGGAGCAGAGCTGTACTCACCAGTGGGAGGAAGGTCAGCAGGGGCCGGACTCTTGGCCGAGCTTTCAGTGTGGCTGTTCCTGACTCGCTCACGGTGTTGAACCGATTGTCTCCATAATAGATCCCATCTGGAGGAGAGTGGGGACAGACCGTGAGCTGGAGATGGAGGGGACGCCGAGCCAAGTGCAACCCACCCTGCAGGTCCCAGTGAGGAAGCTAGGCCTGCGGTGGCCCCCATTAGCCTCAGCTAAGCCCCTCTACTACAATAAGGTCCTGGGAATATTCCGTGTGCTCGTGGGGCCACTGAGGTAGCCTTGTGGGAAGGACTCAGGGGTCATTGCCCGGGGTCTCCTCCAGCATTCCCAGGGCTTTCAGTCCCTCAAAGGTCATCTTTCTCCTTACCTTCCACACCACCCCCCCCCAACACTGTCATGGGTCCCCAGTCTTCACTGCCACAGAAAAGTGTCCCTCCTGGGGCCAGGAGAGCTTGACCAAGGTGACAACCAAAGCTTATCTCTGAGAGAGGGAGGGAAACAAGGCAGTTTTTCTCTCAAGTGTTTGCATTTCTTTTTTTTTTTTAAAGTATATTCTTTTTTTTTTTTTTTTTTAAAGAGAGACAGAGAGAGAGAATTTTAATATTTATTTTTTAGTTTTCGGCGGACACAACATCTTTGTTTGTATGTGGTGCTGAGGATTGAACCCGGGCCGCACGCATGCCAGGCGAGCGCGCTACCGCTTGAGCCACATCCCCAGCCCACGTGTTTGCATTTCTAATCTGGAACTAGCAGAGCGCACGAGACCACCTGCTGTCCCCTTTGGCCAATACTCCATCTTCTGGACCCCTCAAACCCAAGAGTTCCCTAGCCCCAAGCCACCAAAGGCGTGTGCATAGCTTTCTTTGATGCACTCTTGAGGGCTGAGCAGAAACAGTGGGGCTGTAGTAGTGACCTAGGAAAACCTCAGCTCTGCCACTGACTGGCCATGTTGCTCAGCTCCTCTGGGCCTCCCATGTTGCCAGCTGTGCAAAAGATGTGATGCTAGTGCCAGCCTCTTCGGACTGTTGTTTGTGAGGAGTAAGTGTGAAGTGTTCAACAGACCTGGTCCCTTCCCCTGCAGCAAGATGTCACTGAGGACCCTCCCCTTCCTCCAGTTCCTGGGCCCTGTGTGCAGCTGGGGAGGGAGTGAGGAGACATGCCCTCTTTCTCAACCAAGCTCCCTTGTGACCCTGTCACTCACTGATAAGAACTTTGGATCCCCTCCCAGATGCACACTGTCACCTCCTCAAGGCAGGGATCACTGAGGGCCTCTTTCTTTTTTCTTTTAGAGAGAGAGAGAGAGAGAGAGAGAGAATTTTTTTTTAATATTTATTTTTTAGTTATCGGCGGACACAACATCTTTATTTTTTGTATGTGGTGCTGAGGATCGAACCCGGGCCGCACGCATGCCAGGCGAGCGCGCGACCGCTTGAGCCACATCCCCAGCCCCAATGAGGGCCTCTTTCTATGTGGGTCACAAGCAAGGAGGCCTTTCATCCACTTAACAGGGTCTGAGGGACTTTCTCCTCCTCTGTACTCAAGAGAGGAAAGAAAGTTCAAATCCCCGTTAACCAGAATCCGGATACTTGGAACTCCAAACTAACTGAGATTTCTTTTTTCCTTTATGAATGACTTGAGGAGGAAATTGCAAGAGAGCCAAATAACGTATTCAAAAGAGCCCGGGCTTGTCAGAGAGGTGCTGGGATCAGAATGTGTCCATCCCAAATTCCTATACCTGTAGTCACTGTCCTCCATGAGCAGCTAGGCTTCAGGTGTGACAGGGAGGCGCCTAGCACTGTGACAACTGGTGGGCAGGGCCCTCAGTGTGCTGCCCTACCAAGGTAGAAAAGTGGCGGGTACATCCAAGACTGTCCACCTCTCAAAAGAGTACCAAACAACCGGTTCTGTGTGCATCTCCTGTTCCTGGAAGCCCCAGTTCCCAGTGCTGCCCTGCCCCAGGCACTGGGCAAACATGATTCCCCAGTCAGGGCTGCCAGGCTCCATGCCTGAGGCTGCAGAGCAGGACTAGAAGGGCACCAGGAAGGAGCCTTAGGGTGCAGCCTTGGCCCAATCAGAACAAGAGAGGGGAGATAAAATGCACATCTCCAGCGGCCACCACCAAAGCCTGCCTGACCCTGTAGCTTCCAAGTCTGTGAGCTCGTGCCTGGATCTCCTAGGACAGGCTCCTGATGCCTGGTCTCAATGACATGCTCTTCACGGGACTGGGAAGGGAACATGGGACAGCCTCTCTCCTGGGCAGACACACTCTCTCACTCGTGTGGGAGTCTAGGAAGCGCCTTTCTGCAGTTATTCTCATACTAATGGCCTCTATTAGCATGCGCCTAGGAGTTTCAGAAATGTTTTATCTGAGCAAACCCCCGCCCCGCCCCAGCAAAGTGAAAACTCTGATAGAAAAAATACAAGGTAAGATTTACTGAGCACTTTTACATGTCAGGCACTGTTCTAAGAATCCTACATATTATTAATTCATGGTTTAATTCTCAAAAACATCCCCATGCAAGTCATGTATGACTAAAAAAAAAAAAATCCCCATGCAAATTGCTTTAAAGATAAGGAAACTGAGGCAAAGCCTCACCGAAAGTGTTAAAGCCAGGGCTTCCCTGAAGGATCTGACCTCTGAACCACCACAACCCACAAAGGAAGGACTCAACCCCATCATTTATAGGACTTGGATGGGAAGATGGGGATGCAAAGGGAGGGGTGTTTTTTTTTTTGGGGGGGGGTAGGGTCAGGAAATCTTGGCTTTGGCCAATGAGCAGCTTTCACAAAGCCACCCCCGGGTCAGGACAGAGTCAGCTCTGAACATGGCCATCTGACCCCGGGCTGGCCCAGGCGGGTGTTCTAGCTACGTCACAGATTCCATGACTCAGCCCCGACTGGAGCACTGTGGCTTTGCTTGGCCCGTGGTTGTTCTGAGCAGGGGATTCCTTCCGTACAATACAATTGTTCTCTGTAAATCATACAGAAGGGGCGTGGCTGTGGCTGTGGCAGGGGTGGGGGTGGTGGAATCGCCCCCCCCCCCCCCCCCCCCCCCGGAAAATCCATTTGGCACCTCTGGAAAGTCAATTTGCTTTCCCAGTCCTCAGCGTTGTGTCACGTGTAAGTGTGTAAACGCAAGGATGGAAGCAGAGCCCAGTGATATAACCAGAGGATTCCACCAGCCACTGGCTATCAATGGCTGCAAAGATGCAAGGGGATGGCCAAGGAGTGGCAGCAGTCTCTAGAAGCTGGAAAAGGCAAGAAAATAGACCCTCCCTAGAGCCTCCATAAAGAAGCCAAGTCTTCCCAACCTCTTAATTTTAGCCCTATGTCAGACTTCTGGCCTATATGATTGTAAAATAATAAACAACAATAAGCTTGCATTGCTTTAAGAGAAAGAAAGAGAGAAAGAGAGGAAGGAAGGAAGAGATAAGGAGGTGTAACCAGGATCTGATGGGCCTCTCTGGGCCCTTCCTATCTGGCTCAGTTTCTGCCAGGTCAAGGAATGCCATTCGGTGAGACGTGTGTGGCCGTCACCATAAGCTAGGTCCTCCAAGTATTCAAGATCAGCTGAAGCTTTCCCAGCTTCAAGGTCAAGGACCAAAGCTGAACAGAAAGACAGGAGTCCAACCTTGGGGACTTTCCCACGGAAGTAAGTGAACTCCACTGGATTGGTGGCAAGGATGGGGAACAGCCCTTTCGGAGGAGCAGTCCCTTCCGCTGCTGAGAAGTTAAGGTGGACTTGGAAGGTCCTGATGCCTGAGGGGTGAGGGAAAGGAGGAGGTGAAGGGGAGGCTGGAGAGGAGGCTCATACAGAAGGTCCTACCCCAGCAACTCAACACCCTGAACCCAGCAACCTCTGCATCTGCCCTTTCCCTACGTTCCTTTCCCACTGAGTTCTTGGTGATTCCAGAAGTTTCCCATTTGCCAGGCCTGGGTCAGACCACGAAGATCCAGAGGGATTCAAAAGAAAAAGAGAAAGAGCTGCTTTTAGACTCAAAAGCTTCCAAAGAAAGGGAGGCCCTTCCGGAGAGTCCTGGGCAACAACAGCAGCCAGAAAGGCTTGTGAGCAAAGCCTGAGTCCCTGGTGGACCCCAGCCCATTGAGGCAGGAGGCTTCGGCTCAGTGTCTCACAGATCCACCTACCAGTAATGTGGTGATAGAGCAGGAGTAGGTTCAGATCTGCCTCCATTACCTAAACCCGAGCACTAACACAGTCCTTCCCCACAGATTAAGCCCTCTTCATGACAGGATTGTGTGCAGGACTCCCTTAGTTTTTCTCCCTAAAAGTTTCTCCCTCACATATTGACAGGGAGTGAAGGAGAGACACTGCCTTCCTTTTACCCTTGCTCAGGATTGGAGTTGCCATAGATACCATCTAATATCCAAAAACCCATTTCAGAATTATTTTTTGGTGCCTGAAGACACGTAGCTCCCCTCTTGACCTCCTGTCTCAGAACCTGACCTTGCCCTTGGCTTAAGGAAGTCATCCGGCTGTGCCTGAGGCTCTGTCCCAGGTCAGAATCACCCAGGCAGAGGCCAGCTCCTCATCTGGGAGGGGAGGCAGGGCATCGTGGGGTCAAGACTGCAGGTTTAGAGCCCAGGTGAAGTTGGGCTTCAGTCTCTGCTCCATCACTTAACTATGGGGCCCTGGAGGATCACTCGTGAACAATGGTCCCTACTGGGTGGGCTGGTGCAAGCCTAAATGAGAAAAACTATGGAATGTGTTAGCACAATGCCTGATGGGTAATTTTTGCTCAACATGTGGGAAGGCTGCTTATCACCTTATCATTGCCATCAGCATTGCTCATTCACTCTCTCTCTGCGCCCCTCCTCTTCCCCCACCAAGAGTTTGGGCTTTTGAGTTTGAAGCAGATCATGACACATGCAAATTAGGGAGAACACCTGTACCCATGGCTGAGTGCCATCAGGAGGCAGGTGATCCTTTGCTCTCATCAGGGATCATTCTGGGTCCTAATCCCAGTTTAGCGCTGGTTCCAACCACCCTCTTGGCAGATGGGGAGACTGAGACCCAGAGTGGGAGGAGTGGGACCAAAGTCACACAGCTGTGGTGGTGCCTGGGTTTACAGGGT